GCTATGGGTTGGTAACGACTCGATGGCACCTAACAACAACAACATCCATAAGTTTAGGTCAACGTCATCAAATTGTAGCAGATTACACTTTTTTTCCCTCTTCTTCCTTCTTCTAGTGGGGTTCTGATCATCCAGCCACTGAAGCTAGGTCAGATTGGTACTATCTGCTAGTATGGGCGTTCTTGTGCATCTTTCTTCATTTCATATCAGCTGGATACTTCAATTTCTGTTCTAGTCCTCTGTGAAACTACCAGCCGCTCCGCGGGAGAAAGATGAGGCTTTCTACTCCGGTAAATATTTATACCCTCGGAAACCCTGTACAGGTTCGCTATGGGTCAGAACCGACTCGACGGCACTTAACAACAACAACAACAACCTCTGTGACTATGTCCCAGGTCTCAGTATACTGCTGGCCAACCAGGTCTCCATCCAGGTTGACAGAAATCTATTGAACGTGGTCGGATTTAGCTCACAGCTTCATTGGTGTTTTTGCCCCACTTCCCCTTATCAGTAGCCCAGCGTGGTCACCAGCAAGACTACATGCCTGTTTGTATATTCCCTTTGAGTTTCAGTCTTGGAAGGGGGTTTTCCCTGAGGGGCCTTGATTGCTTGCCTTGATGGATCCCCTGTGAACAACTTGCTTGTTCTTGTAGTAGTCAGTCAGACTGCCATTATTGTTTTTGATTTTTTTCTGCTGGTCTTTCTTTTAAGAAGTATTTTCTGTTCTTCTAGCTGATCCAGGCTGGTCTGCTTGTCTTTTCAAGTGGAAATTTCCCACCTCAGAAGATTCTCGATGGGGATCAGGATTCCATCTAAGGTCTTATGTAATGCAAAGACTCCACTGGAAGCCTCTTTCATTGGGCAAGATCTAGCCCCATTTTAAGTATTCCAGTCAGTTATAGGCTGAAGACATACTTACAAGCTTTCTATAGTGATGTTTCTGGCTATTCCTTTCTCTCCCCTTCAAGTGTCTGTTTTACAATAGTAGGCAAGGGAAACCAACATTCATAAGACAGTCAAACATCTTAACATTATTTTCCCTTTTTTACCCATTCAAACCATGCCTCACTCCCTGTATCCCAGAGCCCACCACAGGGCTTTTTATAGGTAGAAAGGAAGATTCAGTATTATAATTAAACTTATATTTGAAAAATCAAATATAACCTGAATGTCCTCAAGACCAATGTTCTGGGTGATTTCCTTTAACATCCACATGAAGTGATTCAAACCAAGACCAGGCTTTGTTGTTAGCTGTTGTTAAGTGGCATCAAGTTGGTTCAGACTCATAGTAAACCTGTACACAGCAGAATGAAACACTGCCCAGTTTCCAGAGGTTTAGTACCTTCCCAGTTTTTAAAGAATTCTTAAGGAGCAGGTTGTTTAGGTTGCCCTGTTGTGGTTCACCCAAAATTCTGGCTCTGCACTCAGTCTTTTAGTCTTCACCAGAGTCTGCATGACCTGTGATTGTAGGTCCTTTTGACTTTTTGCATGATTGGAAAGGATCCATATTTGTGCCCATTCCAAAGAGAGTTAAACCAGTGGAATGAGGAAATCATCAAGCAATACCATTAATATAACATTCAAACACAATTTTGATTAAGATAATTAAAAAATGGTTGCAACAGTACATCCACCGGAAACTGAAGAGATTCAGAAGAAGACGTGGAACTAGGAACATCATTATTAACGTGAGATGGATCTTGGCTGAAAGCAGAGACTATCAAAAAGGTATTTATTTGTGCTTTGTTGACTGTGCAGAGCCTTTTGACCATGTGGACCATGACAAACTATGGATAACATTGTGAAGAATGGGTATTTTGGAACATTTAATTTTGCCCATGAGGAACTGGTAAATAGACCGGTTGTTAGAACAAAACAAGGTGGTTTAAATGGCTTAAAATCAGGAATGGTTTAAAATCAGGAAAAATTTACGCCACGGTTGTATCCTTTCACCAAATTTTTTCAATCTGTATGGTGAGCAAATAATCTAAGAAGCTGGGTTATATATGAAAAAGAACATAGCATCAGGATTGGACAAAGACTTATTTGTAACTTGCGGTATGAGGATAATACAACCTTGCTTACTGGAAGCAAAGATGACTTAAAATACTTACAGATGAAGTTCAGTGACTACGGTCTTCAGTACAGATTACACCTCATTGTAAAGAAAACAAAAATCCTCATAACTGGACCAATAAATGACATCATGGTAAATGGAGAAAAGATTGAAGTTGTCAAAGACTTCATTTTCCTTGTATCCACAGTCAACACGGATAGAAGCAGCAGCCAAGAAATCAAACGATGTATTGCTTTTCATCTGCTGCACAAGACCTCTTTAAAGTGTTCAAGAGCAAAGATGTCAGTTTGAGGACTAAGTTGCACATGACCCAAACCATGATATTTTCACTCACCTCAGATGCATGTGAAAGTTGGGACAATGAATAAGGAATACAATAGAAGAGTCGATGCATTTGAGTTATGGGGCTAAAAACAGAATATGGAAAGGAACAAACAAATCTGTGTTGGAATAAGTACAACCAGAATACTCCATAGAAACCAGGATGACGAGATTTCATTTCTTATACTTTGGACATGCTATTAGTAGGGAGCAGTCACTGGAGTAAGTGCTTTGTAAAGTGGAGGGTCAGTGAAAAAGAGGAAGACTTCCAAGGAGATGGATTGACACAGTTGCAGCAGCATTGGGCCCAAATGTAACGATGGTTGTGAGGATGGCGCAGGCTAAGGTAGTATTTTGTTCTTTTGTGCACAGGGTTGCTAGAAGTTGGAATCAACTCTATGGTACCTAACAACAACAGAATGCTTTGCAAGATAAGGTACAATTATTGTAAATTATTGTATCTTGACTTTTATAGATGCTTTGAACATAGAAGAGAAATTGTAGAATAGGCAACAACCTCCAACTGAATGTCTGTCATCATTGTTATTAAAATTCATCTGTCATTACCTTCCACAGACAATCTACTAATTATTGGCCTCATTTCAAACTTACAATCATCTTATAGGCCTCATCGTTTCCTCTTAATTTTGTATCATAAACAAGAGCGTCTTCTTATCTATAAGATTCAGTTGTGATTTTCTCCACCTCCTTTCTTCCTTAAATCCTGGACCTTTCTTTTAAAGAGGAGTCCTGGTGGTTCAATGGTTTTAGCACTTGGCTGCTGAAAGAAGGGTTAGTGGTTCAAACCTACCTGTAAAGGGTTGTTATGAGTCAGAATCAACTCCATGGCACTTAACAACAACAACAACAAGAAAAGTTGGTGTAAAAGGTCTCTCTATGAGTTGGAACCAACTCTAGGCACTTAACAACAACAACAAACTGGTGTAAAGAAGTTCTTGGGTAGTGTAAACAGGTAACTGCTTGACTAGGCTAAAAGATTGATTCAAATCCATCCAGAGGCACCTCGGAAGACAGGCTTAGCGATCGCTTCCAAAAGGTCACAACCCTGAAAACCCTGTGAAGCACATGTGTACTCTGCACATATGAGGTTGCCATGAGTAAAATGGACTCGATGGCAACCAACAGAAAGGGGTATATGTTCTTTCAGTTTATATAAAACAGGAGCATGGGTTTTCAAAACTTGGTGAAACTCTATGTTAGAGTCAGTAGTAATCAACCTTCCAACAGTCTGGACCTGATAAATAGAAGAGCTGTAAGTTGTACTGTAGTGTCTGTGTTTGAGGAGATTAAAATCCGACTGGGAGCTTAAGTTATAAAGATATAGAGAAAGCTACCAGTCAAGACAGTGTAGTAGATGTGTCAGAGGGATACAAGCTGATGTGGCTTGAATGGTCTCCAGAGCTCAGAGGCTCGGAGTCTTGACTCACTCAGATCTGGTTATGAGGGAGTAACAGAGAGGCTAGCTTTTTTTTCTCCTTTTCTCATGTTCATTTTTAGTGTTGAAATGCCATTGTTCAAGCTAACAATGGATTATCTAAAAGTTAATTGGTTAAAAAATGGAAAATTAAATAAGCAGAAAATTCTTGCATCTTGAGATGCAAGTTATATGAAGAATAGTAGAATTATTTTTTAAATTGTTTATGTTTATTACTTAAAATTCCTTTTCTCTAACCTTTGAATTTTTTTTTGTCTTCTAGGCTACATGACTCTCTGAAGGATAAGAACAATGTTATGTTGGGGATATTGGTCTCTTGGCCAACCTGGTATCAGTACCAACCTGCAAGGAATTGTTGCAGAGCCACAGGTATATGGATTCATATCTGACAGAAGTGTCAAGGAAGTAGCCTGTGGGGGAAACCACTCTGTTTTCCTGCTGGAGGATGGGGAAGTTTACACATGTGGTTTGAACACTAAAGGACAGCTGGGCCATGAGAGGGAAGGAAACAAGCCAGGTGAGTGAACCTAGCATGCCTTGTCTTATTGGGAGAATCAAAGGGAGAGGGGCTGGTTAGAGCTTACCTCACCACGTGGTCATCTTCCAGAGAGGCTCTTTTTAATGGTGCAGTGATTACCTCCTGTTCGCAACCTTTGTGTCTAATTCAATCCTATTGATGGGAAAGCAAGGCCCTCTGGTGGCGCTGTGGGTTAAGCATTGGACTGCTAACCACAAAGTTGGCTGTTCAAACCTGTCATCTGCTCCTCAGGATGAAGATGAGCTAGTCTGTTCCCATAGGATTTAGAGCCTCAGAAACCTTGCGTAGGGTCATTTTAAGTTGGAATTGACTTGATGGCAGTGGGTTTTGATGGAAAAGCAGAATTGCCTTTTTCATTTTATTAAAAAACACATGTAATCATTTACTAGGTGAGGGAAGATGACTAGTTAGTTCAGAGAAATAAGTTTTTCCCACTAGTCTTCATATAATTAATATCAGAAGCTTCTTGACCTAATTATTTACTCATTGGTTTATTTCTGCAGCATGCTTTTGCTAGGCATTTTGTGTCAGGCACGTGCTTGGTGGTATGAGTAGGAAGATGAGTGAGGTACAGCACTTATGTGACTCCATTGATTTTCTGTGGCAAGTGCTCTGATGGAAATGTGTGTGTAGTAAAATGGAGACTACCTAATATGCTGGAGGTGGGGGTGGGGTGGCGAATAGCCTGGAGAGGTTTGTTCTGCCTTCAGGGCTTGAGTCGAAGAATGAGTAGGAACTCAGCAAGTGTGTGTGTGCAGCCAGTGATAAACAAAGGCCTGGGTATGAAGACACTACAGTTGTACTGGGAATGTTGAAGAGTGTGGTGATGAAGGATAGATGATAGTGAAAGGATAAACTGGTAAAGCAAGCAAACAACTATACCAGTTGAAAATTCCTGTTCCCTGTGACCTCATGTGTTGCAGAGTAGAACTACACCTCGTAGGGTTTTCAATGACCAATTTTAAGGAAGTAGAACCTGCTCTTTCTTCCAAGATGTCTCTGGGTGAGTTCAAACTGCCAACTTTTCTGTTAATAGTTGAGTGCTTAACTGTTTGTATCACCCAACGACTCCTATAAACTAGAAATATTTTAGTGTCTTCCATTTGTTTCCAAAAAGTGTCTGTTGGTTTGACTATCTTTTTTCTTCCACTGTTACTATATAAAGAATCTAAATTTGACTTGAAGAATATATGTAGCACCCCATTCAATTATCAGTTGTTGTACTGTAGTAGCTTGTGTGATGATCAGGGTTATCTGTGTTGGACAGGGTTCGGCAGAGCCTTAAAGAATTAGAGGCGGATCACTTCTAAATGGTTTAGCCACTGAAAAAACTGTATGATTAGCCATGGAACATTGTCTAATATAGTGCTAGAAGATGAGCTCCTCATGGAGGAAGACACTCAAAATGCAACTAGGGAAGAGCTGCCTCCTCAAAGTAGAATTGAGCATAATGATGTGAATGGAGCAAAGCTTCCAGAACCTTCATTTGCTGATGGGGCACAACTCAAAATGAGAAGAAACAGCTGTAGAAACCATTAGTAAATGAAATGTGGAATGTATGAAGTATGACAATAGAAAAATTGGAAGTCATCAAAAATGAAGTGGAACACATAAAAGTGGATATCATAGGCATTAGTGAGTTGAAATGGACTAGTGTTGGCCATTTTGAGTCAGAGAGTCATGGGGTTTACTATGTTGGGAACATCAAATTGAAGAGAAATAGTATCACATTCATCATCAAAAACAGCATTTCAAGAATTAACTTGGAGTACAGTGTGTACTTGTAGTTGTAGTGTACAGTACTTGTAGGCATATGGATATTATTTTGCAATTGCATAATATCCATGTGCCTACAAGAAGACCAGTTAATACCACTGTTACTCAAATTTATGCACCAATGATGACGAAATTAAAGACTGATCAAGCATGAAATCAAGATGCATTGATAGTGGTGATTGAAATGGGAAAGGTGATTGGAAACAAAGGAAGTATTAGCTGTTGAAAAATATGATCTTGGTGATAGAAATGATGCTGGAGTTGCATGATGGAATTTTGTAAGACCAATGACTTTTTCATTGCAAATAACATTTTATCAAAAGTATTGTTGTTGTTGTTAAGTGCCATCAAGTTGGTTCCGACCCATAGCAACCCTGTATAGGATTTCCAAGGAGTGTCTGGTGAGCTCAAACTACTGACTTTGCAGTTCAAACTGACTTTGCAGTTAAGCACATTAACACAACACCACACCAGGACGCCTCATCAACAGCACAAATGGTGATTATATTCGTGGACCTCACCCAATGAATACACAGAAATCAAATTCACTACATCTGTGGGGAGAGATGACAGAGAAACTCCATATCACCAGCCCAAAACAAGGCCAGGGGCAGACTGTGGAATAGACCATCAATTGCTCATATGCAAGTTCAAGCTAAAGCTGAAGAAAATTAAAATAAGTGCATAAGAACCAAAATGTGACTTTGAATGTGTCCTATCTGAGTTTAGAATCCATCTCAAGAACAGATTTGATGCATTAGACACTAATGACCGAAGACCAGGAGACATCAAGAACATCATACAGGAAGAAAGCAAAAGCTCATTAAAATAAAATACAAAGAAGCTAAAGCAACTGGAAGAAATGAGGAAGTAAAAGAGCCAAAAAGAAAATTTCAAAAGGCAGCTTGAGAAGACAGAGTCAAGTATTATAATGAAATGTGCAAAGACCTGGAGTTAGAAAACCAAAAGGGAAGAACATGCTCATCATTTCTGCAGCTGAAAGAATAGAAGAAAAAATTAAAACACTGGGTTGCAATATTGAAGGACTCTGAGAAAAAATATTGAATATGTAGAAAGCATCAAAAGAAGATGGGAGGAATACATAGAATCACTGTACCAAAAAGAAATGGTCACTGTTCAACCATTTCATAAGGTAGCGTAACATCAAGAACCAATGATACTAAAGTAAAAAGTATAAGTTTTACTGAAGGCCTTGGTGAAAAACAAGGCTTCATGAATTGGAAAAATATAAATAGAAATGGGTTTCAACAAACTAATGCAGCAATAGAGGTGCTCATGTGTCTATGCCAACTGATAAGAAGAGATCTATATTTGTACCCATTTCAAAGAAAGGTGCACTAATAGGATGCAGAACTCATTGAACAATATTAAATATCACATTCAAGTAAAATTTTGCCAAAGATAATTTTTAAATGATTATAGCAGTATTTTGATAAGTAGCTGCCAGAAATTCAAGCTGGATTCAGAAGAGGACATGGAACTAGGGATATATTTGATGAATATTGGCTGAAAGCAGAGAACACCAGAAAAAAGTTTGTGCTTTATTGAGTATCCATAAACAACATTCTTATCAATGGAGAAAAGATTGAAGTTGTCAAGGACTTCATTCTTCTTGGATCAACTATCAACACTCACAGAAGCAGCAGTCAAGAAGTCAGATGACGTATTGCATTAGTCAAATCTTCTGCACAAGGACTTTTTAAAGTGTTGAAAAGCAAAGATGTCAGCTTGAGGACTAAGGTGCGCCTGACTCAAGCCATGGTATTTTCAATAACCTCATATATGCATGAGAAAGCTGGACAGTGAATAAGGAAGACCGTAGAAGATTTGATGCCTTTGAGTTACGGTGTTGGAGGAGAAAACTAAAAGTGCCATGGACTGCCAAAAGAACCAATAGCTCTGTTTTGGAAGAAGTGCAGTCAGAGTGCTCCTTAGAGGCTAAGATGGCCAAACTTTATCTGTCATACTTTGGACATATTGTCAGGAGGGACCAGTTGCTGGAGAAGGATATCATGTTTGGTAAGGTGGAGAGTCAGAGAAAAAGAGGAAGACCTCCAACTAGACGGATTGGCCAGGTGGCAGCATCGATGGACTCAAGTGTGGCAACAGTAGTGAGGTTGGCCCAGGATCGGACATAAGATCACTATCAGCGCTCAATGGCTCTTAACAACAATAGGCATTGAATTTTGTGGATCATGGCAAGCTATGGATAGTATTGCAAAAGCAACAAATACATATTGTTGTTGTTTGGTGCTGTCAAGTAGGTACTGATTCGTAGTGACCTTATGCACAACAGAACAAGACACTACCCGATCCTGCAGTAATCTCACAATCCTTGCTACTCTTGAGCCCATTGCTGCTGCCACTGTGCCAATCCATCACAGTGAGAGTCTTCCTGACCCTCCATTTACCAAACATGATGACCTTTTCCAGGGAAAAGGTATGTCCAAGTATGAGAGACAAAGTCTGGACATCCTGGCTTCTAAGGAACATTCTGGCTGTACTTCTTCCAATACAAATTGTTTTGTTCTTCTAGCAGTCTGTGGTAATTTTAATATTCTCATCCAGCACTGTAACTCAAATGCATAAATTCTTATATGGTCTACCTTATTCACTGTCCAACTTTCACATGCATTTGAGACTATTGAAGACACCATAACTTGGGTAAGGCTCACCCTTGTCATCAAATTGACATCTTTTGCTCTTAAGCACTTTAAAGAAGTCTTGCGCAGCAGATTTGCCTAATGCAATACATTGTTTGATTTCTTGACTGCTGCTTCCATGAGTGTGGATGGTTGAATCGAGCAAAATGAAGTCATTGACAACGTCAGTCTTTTCTACATTTATCTTGACGTTTTTTTACTGGGCCATTTGTGAGGATTTTTGCTGTCATTACCAAAGGCTATGGTGTTTGATCTTCATCAGAAAGTATTTTAAGTCCTCTTTGTTTTCAACAAGCAAGGTTGTATCATTTGTACATCATCGCAGGTTCTTAAATCAGTGTTGCTCCAATCCTGATGCCACGTTCTCCTTCATTTAATCCAGCTTCTCAAATTATTTGCTCAGCGTAAGATTGACTAAGTGTGGTGAAAGAATACAACCCTGATGCATACCTTTCCTAATTTTAAACCATTCACTATCCCCTTGTTCTTTTCGACTGACTGCCTCTGGTCTGTGTATAG